CAGGCTCCCAGTCATTCTTGTGGATGATACCACCGAGTCGATGTTCTTGAATCTGATAGCATTTGAGCGCTTCCATGTTGGGGCAGGCAATGAGGTGACATCCTATACATTCTTCATGGACAACATCATAGACAATGCTAGAGATGTTGCCCTCTTACACTCCAAAGGTATTGTCCAAAATGCTCTAGGAAGTGACAAAGCGGTTGCTAATCTGTTCAACTCCCTCTCCAAGGACATAACACTGGACCCAGAAAGCAGCCTCGATGCGGTGCATAAGAAGGTCTATCATTACTGCCGGAAGCCTTGGAACGAGTGGCGTGCCAATCTTATTCATACTTACTTCAGAAATCCCTGGGCTGTTATATCTCTAGTTGCCGGCGTCTTCCTTTTTGTGCTCACCATAGCTCAGACTGGATATTCCATAATTCCCTACTACTATCCAAATGATTCTCCTCCCACCTGTACATGTGTACCTGTGGCTCCTCCCCATGTGGCTTCTTCAAACCATGCATACTCCACCTCACCATCAAAATTTATACTTCCTATTCTTATTTCCGTTGGATGGATGCTTACAAAATGAGGATTTCATAATTTTCTTTCCAACAATCATCTTAGGGTTTTGAGGTTGTTTTCATCCAGAGTTTCTTTTCCTTACTGATCTTACCTATTGGTTAATTGAATTCTTTGTTTGATGTCCAGTAATCTTGACCTTCTGATAGATCAAAATGCTCTTCCCCACAGAATTGAGTTTGGTGATCAGCTTTTAAAAAGAAACAAGCTAGCTGGGTCTATTTTCTATAAACGATTTCTCAAAGATCGTATAAATAATGATTGTAATAATAAAAGTATTGATATTTACAAAATACCCTAATTTTAAATCTCTCTATACGTTTTTCAAGCCTCATAAATCATAAAGAAAGTTCGGTCCTACACCATCTTCTGTAGAGAAGCTCCAATCTGTACATGTAAAGAGCGCGGGAAACACTGCCTGCCGGAGTCTCTATCAAGGCCAACTCCACCTTCTCTTCTCAAAATGCACGAACCAAAAATGGTCGAACAATTTAGGTCCAGTCTTAAGATAGAAATTGACTGCACTTGCGCGGTGCAACGCATATAACCCAACAGAGCTGCCCTTAAGAAATTCATTTTCCAATTCCAATTAAGCTAAGCTGCAAGAGATAAGGTAGATTATGAGACTACAATACCCCACTGATAACTCAACATTTTATTGGCACGAGAAAATAAAATCTAACACCACAAGAAACAGAGAATGGAATTACAATGTTGTTCTGAGGCTTCCTCCAATAGAATCCATGGATGATAACTGGCAAGAGATTGCAGGCTACAAGCACAAAAATCATCAATGCATGCATTCCCATCCACTCCATCACAACAGTTGGGCGCCTGTAGCCACACACATCGACCTGTGGAAAACCCGATTCGTTATCAACTTAGAAGAAGAGGAAGAGAAAACTAAGCAGACTGAAAATTTAATGTTTCTTTCTCATCACACAACTAGAAATCCTACCATCAAGTAAATTGCTGCAAAGAGAATGCCAGCAGAACCAGCTGTGATACACATGTAACTGAATGTGTAAAGAGGCTTGTTTATATGCATGCCTGAAAAACCAAATGAAGGAGATAATTTAATGATTAAAAAAAATTCAGCAACTTCAATTATTAGTACAGAAGGCTCATTTATATATTATAACAAAATTGTATAGCAATCACATACCTAATAAGTCTAAGGTGAGGCCTAAGATTATAAGAGACGAGGATGAGATAGACCAGTGCAGGATTCTGTCCCTGTGATTCTGCATTTAGAGGGGGTAATGGTTAGAGAAACTTTGCTGAGGAAAATAAAACAGATAAAACTTGTGATATATGAAGCTTTCTCACCTTAAAATGGACAATAATGTGTCCATAGTGCAAACCAACCAAGCAGGTAACAATAGCCATCATGGAACTGCAACAATGAAAGTAAGTTTTCGCAAAGTTAAGGCAAAGGAATTACGCGTAGTGAAGCAATAGGATTCTCTATTGAAGTCACACATACTAAGATACGCATCGAAATTGCTAACACACCTTAAAAGTCCTTCAGGATCAAAAGGAGCTTGACACCAAGAAGGAGCATCAGCAGGTAACGGGCCATTATCGGGGGAGTTAATACTGCATTGCTGTAGAAATAACAAAATTTAAAACTAAATGTTAGGAATGAATGCGAGGAACACCAAAAGTAAATGAACTTAACCAACAAAATAGATACTAACCTCTGTTCGTGCATAGATTGGTCGTCCATATAAGTGCCTAAGACCCAATATCTTACGATCAATCATCCCAACAGCATTACATGCTGGTCCTGTGTCACCCTGTACTCCACATTTCACCTTCCAAACAGATATGTGTTAGAAACGCCAGTCACACCATTTTTAAAGAAAATCATACTCGAAGAAATCGGGGGACAATTAAAAAACAAATGATCAAAACTTACTGAAAATGTTTTTGGTGCAGAGGAGGAATCACCAGGAATTTGGTACTCCCAATCAGGAACATGCAAGCCGTATAAGAGTGACAGATATAGCACAGTGATTATCAATGCTGCTGACCTGAGAATGAGGTTCCAGACATTGTTCAAAATTGAGCAAATGTAAAAAGTATTATCATGGTCCAGAGAAAAAACAAAAAGTAGGCACTACGATACGATTGCAAAAAAATATGACTTACCATTGAAATCGATATTTCCTGAGCAGAGAACGTCCTGAGTTGACATTATCGTCACCCTTTAGCCAAATCTCGCACAAAGCTGCTACAAAATATGCTATTGCAATTCTCTGGAAAAAAAACCAAGGCAACTGGTGTTTAAGAGCTAATATAGACACAACAAAATGGAACTGAAAACCATAGAGAAATTAGTTCTAACTCTTCTCCAAGTTCGGACTACTCTACCAGGCAAAATGCACAAGCTTAGGAAATTAAAACTAGTGATATGTAGCATACCTGTAGAATGCCCATCCATCTCATCTGTTCAATATCCACCCCAAACGTTAGATCCTTGATGCCATGAAAATAGCCACCTGGATGCAAATTGCACTGTACATTCAGTTTACAGAAGCATATAATTGCAAACAAAGCTTGCATTGCAGAGTAAAATGATTTTACACTGAACATATAGAATTAAACTATTTGTATCTTCATGATCAATGGATATGCATCAAATGCTCAGAATTTTGCATGTTTTAGTAGTTCACCTTGAAGGAAAAGGCCTAATGCTAGAAGCTTCAGTGTCCTCAGAACTGTTTTTCTAGTCGCAACGGTTCCGCATGACATTTTCTGTACAGGAAACGTAAATACGTTTTGGTTAGCTTTGCTTCTTCTTAAAACAATGACCCTTTTGAACAATTTATAACATTCATTGAGTAAAAGAACAAATTAAGGAGAGCAGAAGAGCATGAAAGATATGGTGTACCTTGTAGGTAAGTGAAAGGGAAACACCAACCATAAAGAGAAAAAATGGCATGACCAAATCTGCAAGGGTCAAACCGTTCCATGGTGAATGGTTAATAGCAGGCAGGATCCCACCAACGTCATCCACTAATATCATGATCTGCACCAATAATACCATATATAAATTATAATTATGGAAAATCAACATCTTATTTACGAACCAAAAACAAATTAAATGATAAAAAGAATTGGATCGAGTTATACTTCTTGTGAATCATAATTTGACACATATGTAACTGCGCGACTTTATCAGTTAGTCACATATCTGGGAAGTAGGCCCAATTTAAAGGACCAATCCATAGATGTCATATTAAAGAAGAAGAAGCAGATGTTATATATATTAACGTGCAGTGGGGGACATCCTAGTCACTCAAATACAATACAAAAAGCAAGTGATGAAACAGCTTTTTGTAAGTGTCGGTGCACCTGACAAATGTACATTGGTACCATAATCAATGTCGGGCGCATCATGATTTCTTTTGGGTAAAGCGTTTACATTGCATCTGATCTTTGTAGATTTGAATCGAGATCTACTTTGAACACTAAAAACGATTTGAAAAAGAGAACAAATCATTGAGTGTTGGATTGGGAGGGAAGGAAAGAACATAGAAGATATGCAATGGATACCAATTGTTTTCAGTCCGGCAACCGAATCACCCGAAATGTGCCACGACAGTCGCTCTACGAAAAGAGTTGCTATTTTGTTTCCTTGATTTTGGATCCGATGATCTTTGATTTCTTCAGACGAATAATAATCTAACAATCTTATTATTTTAAGGGGGTCAGTTTGGGCTTTTCCTATTTTAAGTATCTACGAAATAAACGTTCGACCAAAAAAAAAAAAAAATAAATAAAGAGACGTGGGTACTTTGGTTAATAATAATAATAATAAATAATAATTTATGAGTTACTTAAGAACAGTTCATTAGTCACGACTCATACTCATCAGTCATCATTAATCCTTTTTGTTGACGGTTACAAACAAACTAAGAAAAAAGCAACCCTAAACCCTCTCCTCCTCTTACTTAGAAAACAAGAAAAATGCAAAAAAAGGAGGCGGAAAACTGATACGGTGCCGTATCGCCAAACGAATTTCCCTTAATTAAAATTCGTTTCTGTTTTCGTTTTTAATTTTTCTGGGTTTTGAAAAATAAGGAACATAAAAAAAGCAGCAGAAACATAAAGAGGAGGCTGAAAGTAGACGACGTTACATACCGCAACCGTAAGTCCGCGGAAAACGTCGAGGGAAACAAGGCGTTGCTGTTGCCGCAACTTCGAAGGCAATGAGGCCGCCGCCGCTTCCTCATTACTAACATTCTTATAAGCAGCGGCACCACCGGCGCCACAGCCGGCGGCGGAGGCGGAAGAGGCGGATGTCGATTTGGATATCTGCTGAATGGCCATCTCAACATCCTCATCATGATCAATACTGATGTTGTTGCTCTTCATCATCATAGGATCCGTCATACCACGTTCTTCAACATCATGTTCGTATCTTTTAATAGGTTCATACACAGCCATATCTCCCTCTCTCGTCCCTACCCTATCATCACCAACACCACGCGTTATTATAAACCTTCCATCTATCTCCACCGTGCATGTAAATATAAATGGCTATATACAAATAAAATTTCATTAAAGAATATGGACGAATGACAACAAAACCTGAATTGTGTGGGCACCAGAGATGAATAATAATCACCTTATCTTCTTTATCCGCCTTCTGAATAAACAAAATTCAATAATTTTGTCTGTTGTTTTCCTGCGTTAGTTCTAGGCAGCCTGTGGGGGAGGGGGGGAAGGCACCCTGCAGCACTTACTTGTAAATGCTCCCCAAATCGCTGGATGACCTTCTCCTTCCTTTCTTCTGGTTTCTCTTTTGCTCCGCTGCCTCTCTCTCTCTCTCTCTGTCTCTGCTTTTATATTTGACAAATCCTAAAAGGAATATAATTTGTATATTTATAGAAAGAGTTACAACAGGTATGGGTTTGTTGGTTCAAGTAAGTATCCATCGCAACAAAAAAAACAGATATTTGTTATTATTATTATTTTATTATACTGGCAACAGATATTTGTTTTTGATCCCTCGATTTTCCCCCTATTTACCCTCCAATTCTCCCAACTGTATCCCCCTCGCTCTCCGTCCAACAACAACAATTGCGTCCGAGTCCGGTCTCTCCTCCAAGTGGTACATAAACATTTTGAAGCGCGTACCCTAGGGCCTCGTCATTTACTTTTGACGGCTACGATCTCGCATCAGAAAAATGACTATCTGAAAATGTCGACATTGGTTTCTAGATTTTCACAATCTATTTTGATATTGGTTTCCCGAATTATTTCTGACTTGTCAGCCGCGATCTACATGCACCCAGTCACATGGCGCCAGGCGCCGTAAACATGAATTCTAGCCTTCACAGCCACAGCCACTGCAACAAGCGTGACGCCAACCGACAACTGAAGCTCTTGCTTTACTTGCATGAGACAACTTTGCGTGCAGCAGGCTCAGCTCACCCAGATTTTTTGCACATGATTTGTGGCAGCTTTTTAATTTCTAGAATAATCGTGCATGAATCTGACCCTCCATATTTCCCCTTTTTTTTTTTTTTTTTTTTCATAAACAAACGTATCTATATGTATTTAATTCGTAAAAGTTTCCCAATTCCTTCCTACATTAATTGATTTCCTCGCTAAATAACATTGACTTTATTTTTTGGGTTTAAATATGTGAATTTAAAAAAAATAAAAATCTTACTCCAAAAGAAGGAGAATCAAATGATTTAGTGGGTATAAATATTTGAATAAAAACTTTATGTTCATGGCAATAGCAAAATTTACTACTGCTCAAGTTGCGGCTATTGTTGTGTATGGAATCTACTGCTTTTACGTTGGTAAAACGTGTGATGAAGGAAGGGCTCGAATTGCATATGTTCACCATTATCTTTTCCCTTAATCCTTTTATTCTTTCTATGGGCTATGTGTCCGTTCACCGTCCACATTCAGTAATGGATGGCTGGCTAGCTCCTTTGCTTTGGAGAGAGAAAATCATAAAAGAGAGAGACGGAACAGAAAGCAAGAAGAAAGCAAGAAGAAAGCAAGAAGAAATTCGAATATTCCCGTATTCCTTAATATGGGAAGGACACGGGTAAAGATAAGCGCAAAAATAAAATACAAAGCAGCAAAGCGCAAAGCAAACCGGTCCACTCATAAATTTGCATGGTTTTAAAAAATTCCAAAGATATAGAACCTCCTCCATCTCCTCCTCTCCTCTCAATAGGCGCCGGCCGGATATGACACTAGATTGAATTTAACAGAACATACGTAAGATAGGCCAATTGATCAGGACAGTGAGACCACACCATGTTTCATTCCGACCATTAAAACTAAATAACCATATCCCAATAACAACCACCTACGTGTGATTAAATTAGGTAAAAATTAAAAAACACAAGCCCATCCCATTGCCATTGCCATTGCCATGGCCACCGTTCATGACGTCCTGAAATGCAATATTCCTAATTTCTTTTGCAGGGCATTGCGCACGTAGAGACAAACACAGAGAAAAGTTACCTCTGTAAGTTAGGTTTTGTGCCTAAAAGCTGGAACCAACGTGAGTGTGTAGAGAGCAAGGCGGTGATAAAAAAAAGAATAATATGAAGCATGTTATTATGTTACCTATTTCTTTCCTCCAAAAACTGTTGGGGTTGGTTGGGTATGCAAATAAGCCTGGTGGTGGTCCAAAACTCCAAACAGCTAGTGGGCTGATTCACCATCGCCACCATATAATGTGAACGTGATTAGGAAGGTGTCTACGTATTAGATTCGATCAAGGTTGGAGCAGTTAAAGGAGGGGCTAGTGGGTTTACCAAAACCAAATATAACGCATATTACAACAAAAACAGGAAAATTTTCCAATCAGTGGTTTTTTCTTTTAGCTTCATAAAATTGGTAGTGCTTTGTCTACACTCTCTTTGCTTGCTATTGGATTGTTTGCTATGAGTTTCTTTTGAGTAAAGCAAAATCTTACCGCCTAAAGCATATGATCCCGCCACGTAATCGGGGCACACACTTTGAATGATTGCTGTTGGCGATTGACACCCATTGTTTCGCCAAATGCTTCTGTAATTTCACAGAAAGATTAACTTCTAATTAAAAGTAAGCTCAGTCAGAGGAAATAAGAATATGGTTGGTACTTTTTTTGGACAGATTGTTTCAAGCAACACTCTCAGAGAGAGAAAGAGAGGGCATTTGCAGGCTAATGCTGCAGACAGACTTGAAACAAGAGGAGGAAAAGCATTACCATATTGTTGGTGATAGCATAGTATAGTTTCAAGCCAAAGAATGTGTGAGCGTAACATTTTCGACGTGATAAATACAATTCCAATCAGCTAGCATATGCAGACACGCTTAAACAACACACAAACTAAAGACCCTTTGTTATACAACTTCTATTACCAAAAGTCAACATTGTAATACCGCATTTGTCACCAAACCTTAGACGAAACTAAGCTTTCCTAACCCAGTTTGGTATCAAGTCTGGAATTTCCACCAAGCAGCTGTTAGCTCTAACTTAGGAAAACAAACTTTTGCTAGATTAGAAGACTATGGCACAGGCAACAACCAGAAATCATTAGGTCATAATATCTCTTAACAAGAACTAGAATATGCCAGCTTACCCATCGCATAGATAGAGGCATAACCACTGCAATAGAAACCTCCAAAACCTCTAAGGCTGTTTATGATTTTTTTAACTGAGAGGATCATGATGCACCAATTTTTGATCTCTTGAAGCCTGTGACCAAACATTCAGTGAGTATTTTTAGCATATACCTAATATAGGGTTAATGCATTTAATCATCTTGATTTCCATAGAAGCATGGCTTGAAATCAGAATATTACCATTTATCCGAGTCTTATCCATTAATTCTATATTAGCTTTTTGCAAAAAGTTGGATAATCCTGGAATGATATACATGTTCACATGATCATATCAATTTTATACATATGTCTCACCTTGTTGCCAAAGAAAGCATGGCTTTGTTTTCCACTTAAAAGTATTGGCTCTTGCTATTTTTTTAAAGTAAGTACTCTTTACTCAAACTTCTTCTACTACATCGTTAAGTGCACGATTCAGACACAGGATGTCTAAGCTTTCCTTCTGTCAATTTTCACCGACAAAATCCACATTCCCAATTATCATTAGGAAGCTTTTATTAACCAGCAACCAGATATGACAATTGAAATTTTTTTTTCTTTGCTTGTTTTCTTTTATGATTTTTCCCTCTAGAATCCTGAAGAGAAAAATAACTAGAGAAGAAGTATTTCTCTAGTCAAGAGAACCAAAATGTCAACACATTCAGAACAGGTTACCATGCCTCTCAGCCTGTTCTACTAGTTTAAACAGAGACGTTTTAAACTTTTTCTTCATGTACATTATCATAGTTAAATTTTGGTCTGAACCTGTACTAATCACGGATAAATAAATGATCTTGCAACAACAGCACAAATAACCCCACACATTTTGCTAAGGACGCTGTGGATGAGACAGAGATAATATGAATCGTGTCAGATAAATTTGAATTGCCTAGCAAGGACAAAAACAGAGGATCACTAAACATGCTTGGTTGGTAATGCATCTATTTCATTTTTGATAAGTGTCATTATCTTATAGGAGAATCCTAATCACAACCAATTAAGCTTTTTCAGTAATAAAGAAGTTTACAAGCAAGTATCATATAACAATTGAACTGGTGAGAGAGGTCTGGTCACAAGTCATCAAAAGGTGCAAATGCATATTGAGGGTCAAAACCCAAAACTACAAACTATTCACTTCACAGCAGATGCATTTGAATAAAAATATTATAGAACTGAACGGGAGCCTACAATAACTACTTAAAGCAAAAAAGTGATGCCAATGTAGAAAAAAGATAGTGAAACTTACAGAAAGCCAGCAAGCAACCAAGAGAGCAGTTAATTTAGCCATCGATTGAGAGCCCATCATGACCATGACCATTGATCTCTTCATCTTTCTTCAGGTTGCCACAGACATTGCATTCCATGACATTAGACGGAGTTCCATCATCTTTGGGGGGCAAAGGGGCCAGAGTGCCCCAGCAATTGGTTCTATTACACATGAAACTGAGGAAGAAATAGGCGTGTGGGAAATCAGATTCCACTTGGGCTTGGGCTTCTTCAATGTCACTACCTGACTCTGGTTCTGATTCTGAGGCTGCTTCCATTTCCTGGTCTTGGTCCTCGTCCATGCCCTCTGCTTCTTCCTCACCCTCAATGTTTTCCTCATTATCAGACCAATTGGCTTCGACCTTGCAGCGATCACATTGACAAGCAAACCCATAGTCCTCCGCCAAAGTCCTCTGCCGGCTAGAATAACTCTGGTTCACCGGAAAATAGCTCAAGCAAATCTCCCTTCCCGCCGGAACATCATGGATCATCCTGACCACCATATCGGTGTTGCGGTCGCCGTCAGCGTCGACATAATCGAATCTGCAGGCATTGGGGAGACAATCGTGGTTGAAGAACGAAGCCTTTGGATAAATGGCGTAGGCTCTGCTGGACCTCTGCGAAGTTTCCGAGAAGGGCTCCATTAATCCGAAGGCATTTAGCTTGTCCTTGGCCAGCAGAGCCGCCGAGAGCTCCACCGAAAACAGCTGCTGCTCTTGGAGAGATGGAGGAGGAGCGCAGAGGGAAGAGATGAGACAATGCAGAAAGTGGGCAGCCGCGGTGGTGTCGGAGGCGGCCGAGTCGTCTGGCTGGCCCTGGAGAGACAAGAGCATCTGGAAATTGGACGGGGAAACGATTGCGAGGTTGTAGGCAGCGATGAGGAAGCGGGCCTGGACCTGACGCTCCAGCGGTTGGTCGGAGAGAGGGGAAGGGGAGTCGCGGAGGCGGCAAAGGGCTTGGCAGACCCAAGGAGAGTGGGAATAAGAGAGAGCAGAGGAGAGGCAATTGGAACTGCAGAAGGCATGGTGTGAACACCATGGACATACACAAGCTGAAGAACCAGCAGCTTGAGGTTGAGGTTGCTTTAGGGTTTTGAAGCAGTGGTTGCAGTAAGGGTGAAGAGAAGGAGAGATGAGAGGAAGAGCAGAGTATAGGAGGATTGGAGAGTCTCTGAGAACGATTTGACCGCCCCTCAGTGGCTGAGCCGCCACCAACGCCCTCCCTCTCCCTTCTGTCTCTTTTACCCTCAATAAGTCCTTTGTCATTTCCATTTGCGTCTACGCTTCTCAGTCGCTTCAGTCTCAGATACTCGGAGAATTCCACCGCCGATTTTTTAGGGTTTTCTCTCCTTTTTTTTTTTTTTTTTTTTTTTTTTTTTTTTTTTTTTTTTTTTTTTTTTTTTTTTTTTTTTTTTTTTTTTTTTTTTTTTTTTTTTTTTTTTTTTTTTTTTTTTTTTTTTTTTTTTTTTTTTTTTTTTTTTTTTTTTTTTTTTTTTTTTTTTTTTTTTTTTTTTTTTTTTTTTTTTTTTTTTTTTTTTTTAAAACAAAACTTCTTCCAAGTATCTTAAGCCATGAACATTGATATGTTTTTCATAAATGAAAATTCAAGAGAAATGATAAGTTCTAATTACCCTTGAAGCTATAATATGAACCAAGTTGTGTTTTGGTCTTTCTAACTATTATCGAGGCCCAAATATATTTTTACACGTAGTAAATCATTCACATCAAATCAATCAAATTGATTTCCTCATTCTCATTTGTATTACTCGAAGTTAACCATTTAAGGTGTGCGATCCATTAGGTTCTAATTTAGCAAGGCAGTGGGAAAACATTAGAACTCTTTCTAACCAACTGGAATTAAAACCCCCTTTTAATTCTTCCTTTATTTGGATTGATCACTATCAATCCTAGGACTTCCACAAGTCAAGAGTGACATCTAGCAATAAATCATGACTACCCAAAGCTAATTAGAATAGATGAAGAACCTATTCAGTTAGAATTGCAATGCAATCCGGTCCTTCTCTTATACAATGTTTCCAATCATATTGTTAGGGTACGGATTGATAATGTCAAACCCCTAATATGATTAACCTCATATGATTCAATAGAACATAATTAAAACACTTTTTAAATCATGTTCAAGTACTTCGGCCGAAGATTCACTTAATCATATCTTGAAACATTCTCCTTTCTTTATCAAGGTAGAGATTCCTTATTGTACATTCACATGCCTCCATGATGAATTAAGAGATCCCAATAACACATAAGGAAAATCTTTTACGACTTGCCTTTGTGAGTTATCAAAGATCAATAACGCATCACAAGACAACCATGATGCCTCAGGTCTAAGGCCTAATTTGCATTATTGCAACTATGAGTTCTCGTTTGACATATAGATAAATACTCCATACGAGAACTCCGGTTGATCGCGTTCAGTGTACTCATTCACTAATGAGCACCCACATACTTGTATTAGTGTCAACTACACAAATGGTTTGAGACCAACCATCCTCATTATTGAGCATACATAGTATGTACCAATCTTGACGGTTTATCAATGCCCATTTGATAACCCTATGATTAGGAACATTTTGGGATACTACAATTAGAGATTAAAGGTCTCCCGAATCTAAACTTCTTTAGATTACTTTATCTCTTATTTAGTATACCCTGGACTTTTTGTTTCTTTATGCGACATAAAAGATAACAAAATAATATTGCCCTTTATTTATCATATACGAAATGTATTCTAAGGAGATTACATCAAATGTATTGGCTCTTAGGGCACATTTCTAACAGCACCAACCAATGATAAGGTTTACAAACGAACAGAGAGCGTTAGTGTGGCCTCATTAAAACTTTGCCATCCAAAACCCCCAATGGGGGAAAATCCGGTCAAGGAAAAAGAGTACCACCGCATCTCAAAAACAAACAATGAATTACACCATAGCTATATCCTTATTTAAAAGAATGCTTAACCATGGAGGAGCACGGTCTTTCCAAAAAACTCGAGATCTCACTCTCAACCCATGCTGAGCTAGACTATGTGCCACCCCATTACCCTGTCGGTGTTGGTAGAACACTTCAGCCACCTCTCGATCAACCATTAACCGACGAACATTCTCCACCACATTACCAATATTACTCCACCAATCCAAACCATCTTTAAGAATAGAAACAACTTCTTGAGAATCAAGACCAATGGTAAACCGAGTAAAACCCATGTATCCCATCATCAATAACCCTTCCCGGACAGCCACCAACTCCGTGCCCAAAACATCCAAACCAGGTGGACCAAACGATGCGAAACCACAGATAAAGTTTCCGGCGTGGTCACGACAACATCCCCCCAGACCTCGACCACCTTGCTCATGTCCCACAGCCCCATCACAGTTAAGGAGAAGAGTATTGACCCGTGGTTTCAACCAATGGGCTTGTGGAGAGACGAGGGGGAGCTTGGACCGCTCCTCGTCTGTTTCGGTTTTTTTATTTATAGGAATTTAGTGAAAAACCCAAAAGAAGCAAGCAGCTTTCAAAAACACCCAAAATTTTTTCAAAATGATGAAAAAACCATTATCTTTAGTATCAAAGACATGCAAATCCTAGAGCTCTTTTCTTCACCCAAAACCACAGCAGCATGTGAAGAAACCAGACCTGAATGCAAAGATTTTGTCTTCAAGTAACCAGACCATGTGAAGACGTTGTCACTTTGCATCTACCCAACAATTATTATTGCGCAACGACAATATCAGAAATAGTGTTTTTGTCTCTTTGTACATATTTTTAAGTGTATTTTGTCTTAAAAGGTAGAAGAATCGTTTGTTTGCCATCAGTTGGCATGTGATGTATGTATGAAACTTCAGAAAGAGATAGAAATAATATCAGATAGAGAGGCTTCTCCTCTCATCCTTAGCCATTCCTAGTAGAGTCGGTGAAAATGGTGTATATAGCTTGTAGCTCCGAAGAAGAGAAGTACAGCACCAAAGAAGAAAAAATCTTAGTACTTCCTCCTTCAGTCTTTTATCAATAAAACTCCCTTTGTTCATATAATTTATCTTATTCTCCATACACTTCAAACATTGTTAAATACCACAAACCACTGATTAATATCCAGTAAATAGCAATTTCAGCACAAAGCAATTAAGTAAGTTTCTTTTACTCTTTTTTTTTTGGTTTTCTTAGAAGACTTCTTGTCCAAAATAGGGAAACACTTTTATAATTATGTTATTATCTTGCTAAACTGACGGTCTATACTCTGTTTGAGTACTTGGTCATGTTTATATTTGCCATAATGATAATAGGATGCCTGTCAGGGAACCTCTGAGTTCTGCTTCATAGCCCTTTAAGTTGGCGTCTTTGCAATTCCATGTTCTAGCCATGGTGTCTGGTTGTCATGTTGGCCTTTAGAAAACTGTGACCAAGCCCCGCTTGAAAAATGGTATCAGAGCCTTAGTTTAGTACCTTAATAATATGATTATGATAGTAAAGTACCTTGAGGACAGAAGTCAATCAACACAACTGATAAAAACCAACGTTTTATAATATGTTACAATTTTGTTAAAACCATAATCACTAGTTAAAAATAGGCCTGTAAAACGGGCCTTTTCAGCCCTAAGGAGTTATCGGGCCGGGCCGGGCTAGCCCTATATCAAATATACAAAGCCCAGGCCCTACCCATGGGCCTAACATTTTCGGGCTTATGATCGGGCCAATGAGTCGGGCCTATTTAGCCCTATAAAACACACGGGAACCGCTGTTCTTCGGTGTCTACAGTTTCTGATCAGAGCTTGAATTTCCTGAACTGGTTGGTGATTCAAGGTCCAAAGGAAGCTTCATTTTTGCCAAAGACTCGGTAAATTGCTGCATGCTTTTCATGTACATGTCTACAAAATCCTGCTGCACCACCTGCTGCTCAGGAACGGTGACAGTGACAGTAGGTTTTGCAAAAGAGGGAGAAGAGAAAAAAAATTGCAGAGACTAACAGAGGAAGAAGGAGGAAAAATAGAAAGAGAGAGGGAGAGAAGAAGAAGGAAAAAAGAAATAAAAGAGAGGGAGAAATGGAAAGCAACGGAAGGAAGAAGAAGATGGGAAAAAATAAAAAATGAAGGTGTTGAGAGAGATGAGATATGGGAAGAAGAAAAGGAATAAAAATTAGAAAAGAAAGAAAAAGAGGCGTTGGTTTCGGTGCATCTTCAGATGCAAGTGCATGCTCTCTACATTTTCAGTTTCATCATAAGCTTTTGATGAGACAAAGCATGCTTTCAACTTTCAAGAAAGAAAGTTGCCGACAAACTATTAATATTATATATAATATAACTATATTAATTCAATTAAATAATTATAATCGGGCCGGGCCGGGCTTTGAAAGGGCTTAAAAATGAGGCCCAAGCCCTACTCATTAGACTTCGGGCCGGGCCAAGCCCGCCCATTACTTCGGGCCGGGTAAGCCCATGCATTAAAAAATAGGGCCGGGTTCGGGCCAGCCCATCGGGCCCGGGCTTTATTTACAGGCCTAGTTAAAAACAGTAAACCCTTTGCATGTTTGGCCCTTGGTGGACACCTATTAGAATAAAAGAAAGGTTACAAGAATTAAAGAAACAGAAGGCTGAATACCAAATAGAAATTAGGAATCTAGAAGAATTAATAAAATCACCAGAAGTAGGTAATTATCCTAGAAGAAAATTAGAAGTACAGAATAGTATAATAAGGAACCAGTATCATTCAGAAGTCTGTAAATAATACATAGAAGCATTTCAAGAACATTTAGGCATCTTAAAAGAAAAAGGTAGACTTAGATAAAGACAATTATATGATAGAGTACCTTAATCTAGAAATCAGTGAACAACAAAAGAAAAAATTAACTTTATATAATAATACATTAGTTTGTTACTTTCCACAAAAAGAACACAAACACCTTTTACATAGCAGTAATAATCCCCTAGAAAATAGTATTATTGATCTTTTAATTAGTCAAGCAGAAAGTGTAAAATTTGAACATAACAAACATAATAGAATAATTCAACAGTTATTAGAATATTTTCAGAAAAATTCCTTAAAAACAATAAGACAAAACCTAGATTATATAACATCCCAATTAGAAGATAATAATAAGAATATTCAAAGATTTCCTAGTAAGAAAGAAATCAAAGACCTCATAGATCTTATAGATAGCAAGCCAAAACAAATAGAACTCCAATAATTAGAAATTATTGAGCAACTAAAATAGAAGTACAAAAGATAAAACTAGTACAAAAAACATTAACTGAACAAGTAGAAAAGTTACATAATAAAATAGATAGACTTTTAGTTTAATGACATATTCTAAAATCAATAATAAATATATCAAAGCATTAGAAGA